ACAATACCATCGAAACAAGATTAGACTAGTAACGGTAAGCATATTGAACAACATCAACGCCCACAACTACTTTGTGTTCTACTCGTGCAAACAATCTACGCAATAGACCTAGCTCATGATGCCACTGTTGGGGAACGTAGCAGAAATTCAAAAAATTTCCTACGAATCACCAAGATCTATCTATGGAGAGACCAGCAACGAGTAGAAAGGAGAGTGCATCTACATACCCTTGTAGATCGCTAAGCGGAAGCGTTCAAGTGAACGGGGTTGATGGAGTCGTACTCGTCGTGATTCAGATCACCGATGATCCTAGTGCCGAACGGACAGCACCTCCGCGTTCAACACACGTACAGCCCGGTGACGTCTCCCACGCCTTGATCCAGCAAGGAGAGAGGGAGAGGTTGAGGAAGACTCCATCCAACAGCAGCACAACGGCGTGGTGGTGGTGGAGGAGCGTGGCAATCCTGCAGGGCTTCGCTAAGCACCATGGGAGAGGAGGAGGAGGAGAGGGGCAGGGCTGCACCAACGAGAGATCAAATCATGTGTTATGGGCAGCCCCATGCCTCAATATATATAGGGGGGAAGGGGGCTGCGCCCCCTTTAGGGTTTTCCCACCCCCTAGGGGCGGCGGCCAGCCCTAGATGGGTTTGGGGTGCGGCCAAGGAGGGGGGGGAGGAGTCCATCCTCCCCAAGGCACCTCGGAGGTGCCTTCCCCCTTGAGGACTCTTCCCTCTAGGGTTCCCTAGGCGCATGGGCCTCTTGGGGCTGGTGCCCTTGGCCCATGTAGGCCAAGGCACACCCCCTACAGCCCATGTGGCCCCCCGGGGCAGGTAGCCCCACCCGGTGGGCCCCCGGGACCCTTCCGGTGGTCCCGGTACAATACCGATGACCCCGAAACTTGTCCCGATGGCCGAAACAAGACTTCCTATATATAAATCTTTACCTCCGGACCATTCCGGAACTCCTCGTGACGTCCGGGATCTCATCCGGGACTCCGAACAACATTCGGTAACCACATACAAGCTTCCTTTATAACCCTAGCGTCATCGAACCTTAAGTGTGTAGACCCTACGGGTTCGGGAGACATGCAGACATGACCGAGACGTTCTCCGGTCAATAACCAACAGCGGGATCTGGATACCCATGATGGCTCCCACATGTTCCACGATGATCTCATCGGATGAACCACGATGTCAAGGACTCAATCGATCCCGTATACAATTCCCTTTGTCTAGCGGTATTTTACTTGCCCGAGATTCGATCGTCGGTATACCGATACCTTGTTAAATCTCGTTACCGGCAAGTCTCTTTACTCGTTCCGTAACACATCATCCCGTGATCAACTCCTTGGTCACATTTGCGCAAATGATGATGTCCTACCGAGTGGGCCCAGAGATACCTCTCCGTTTTCACGGAGTGACAAATCCCAGTCTCGATCCGCATAAAACAATAGATACTTTCGGAGATACCTGTAGTGCACCTTTATAGTCACCCAGTTACGTTGTGACGTTTGATACACCCAAAGCACTCCTACGGTATCCAGGAGTTACACGATCTCATGGTCAAAGGAAGAGATACTTGACATTGGCAAAGCTCTAGCAAACGAACTACACTATCTTTGTGCTAGTCTTAGGATTGGGTCTTGTCCATCACATCATTCTCCTAATGATGTGATCCCGTTATCAACGACATCCAATGTCCATAGCCAGGAAACCATGACTATCTGTTGATCACAACGAGCTAGTCAACTAGAGGCTCACCAGGGACATATTGTGGTCTATGTATTCACACGTGTATTACGATTTCCGGATAATACAGTTATAGCATGAATAAAAGACAATTATCATGAACACGGAAATATAATAATAATACTTTTATTATTGCCTCTAGGGCATATTTCCAACACGCACAACGGGGAGGAGAGGAGCCACTTGTTACGGCACCGAGGGCTGTCGGAGAAGGACTCCAAACGAGGATGCATGGAAGTGCGCCGCGCCACGGATGGGCAGCGCCTCCATGTCCAGCGGGGCGTCGTGAAGCCATGCTGAGTTGTCGGCGATGAAGCTGAGTGCTCCAAAATGGATCTCGCCACCGACTAACATGATGATGACGATGATGGAAATCCACCTGTGCCGTAAAAAAGCCAGACACCTTGCCCCATGGTGGGCACCAACTATCGGGGTTACGATCCTGCAATGAGTACCAGGGATACGAAAGTGGGGCAGAGCCTAGCTACAGCGCAGGTGTAACACTTGGTGTTTTATGAGTTTTGGCCCCTCTCGGAGAAGGTAATAGCCCTATGTCTCGTGCCCTGAGGCTTGTTTTCTTTGAGGGGTATGATTACAGAGGTTGCTTAACCCTAGCTCTGGAGGAGGAGGACCGCTTATATAGAGTGCGCCGCAGCCTCCAGCACTCCCACGTCGTCGGGGCACTTAATGTTCATAACTACGGTTGTTACAATTATAAATAGTCACAACTACAACAGTTACAAGTAACGGTAGCTATGACTCTACTCTAAGAATGACTTAGGATCCCTCGACCGTTGCAGCTCACACATCGTTCCTTCACCTCTCTTGTCCGAGCGATGGTGGTCGTGTTGACTGGAGAGTGGTGGTCCGAGTGTCGTCGAGGTGTCCGAGTGGACCTACTGATACTCGCATCTGAATGCTCGCGTGGTCCTGAGACCCACCAATCATAGTGTGGGGTCCAGGTGGGCCCCAGATGACAGGTCCTTGACCCTATCTCTAGTAGGTGACTTCATCAGCCACCACTAGCTAAGCTCACAATTGTCAAAAATTTAAAATTAGGAAAAATCCTCTAGGTTGCTTGTAGTCTAGTCACCCTCCCTCCTCTAGACATACTAAACTATCCTACGTGTATGTCGTAATCGAGAATCCTATCAACGCATTCAAGGGTGTGGCTAGTGGATGCCCTTTGCCTATCCGGTCACCTTCTATATGCGATGGCTCCTGCACTGGGTGGATCCGACATTAGCTCCTCAAATAAGCTCGTCTTGCTAGCCCTGATCAAGTGGATTCGGGAGCCTCTGCCTTGTGTTTCGCTGCCGAGATGGTTGAAAGGAGGATCGATGGCGTTGAATTTGGCGTTCGTGTCCCTAGACCCGATGTACCAAGGGACAAGGAAGCTGGCTATGACCATTTTCATCTTCTAACATCATCTACAGCCGGACTCCTCAAACCATCCTTCGTACGCCCGCGGACGCGCCCAACCAATGACCGGACAGGAGAGAGAAAAAAAAAGTGACCCGACCGGACCCCTCGTATCATCCATATACATCCGAGCTGTCCGCGAACCCTCATATCCATCTCAAATATGGGAGAATATGAGGGCTCACGGACGCGCCCGGGCATTCCGCCACATAGGACGCGACCCCACCCCAGACCACCTTTTCTCTTTCGTTATTCATTCTTTTATTTTTCTTTCTTCATCTTCACCAATCACGTGCAAGTGACCGGACATATGGGAGGAAAAATGAGAAGCATGGTTGCACGGACGAATAAATAGGGGTTCAAAACGGACACGCCCGATCACTGGTCCGGTGCGTCCGCAGGCATTTAAGGGATCATATTTGCTATGTCTAGCTGTAAATGCTCTAAGAAGCATAACAATGACCTTGGTGTTGGAGCTAGTATTCCTCCAACCTCTTTGGTTTGTCCCTCGGTTGTCTCTGATATGCATCTATGAGAGACAGGGTTGATCCATGACTTCGGCTCAACGTCAACCCCGTTGGTTCTTCTCTTCTACCTTCAAAATCACAAGGCCCTCTTCACCTTCCCGCATGCCGGCTAGGTAATTGTCAACGATGGTGACTTGGATAGCGTCTCCGGCCGGATCGACTTTTGCATCAGGACTCGATTGCGATCTACGTGTATTTGTTGGATCATGTTTGCAAGAAGAAATGACATGTTTGTAATTTTCATGATTCTTGGGATCCTTTCGCATGCGGTGACTATTTGGTCTAAGCCGCAACTTGCCGCACCTCAACTTAGACAAATTTGTCCAAGGTGTGTGTTTGGTTCTTGCCACAACTAAGGCAGAAATATTTTTTTATTAGCAGTAAGCCCCACATGTCATAGATGCAAAATGTACGACAAGATTTTCTTAGGCAAGCCAAAGTATGGATAAAATTTTTGAGCAACTCAAAAGAGGCAAGGGTGGCAATATGTGGCAAAAATAGCCGCAATCCAAACAGGGCATGTTTCTGGGACATCTCTTCCTGCTGTTTTTTGTTTTGTTTTGTTTCAAGGGAAACCCCTCTTCCTGCTGTCAAAAGAACTAGTACCTTGGAGGGAAATTATATTTTCTATTCATTTATATGGGCTTAAAATGGTCGTCTAAGTCTTGGTATTCACCATTGAAAAAAATGGCTTGGTATTCAAGTGCCGCCCATCCGTCCGCGTCATTTTGTGAAGCACCCACCCATGTGCGTCGCATCCATTTCACGCTCTGACGCTGGGATCTCCTTCCCCCACAAGGCACGAGCGCGATCTTAGCGAAATGACCACACCTACGGATGCAAAGCTCTGCACCCGACGACTCCTCCACCACGTCTGAACAGTCGAGCTATTCACACCAGCCAGGCATCGGCGCACGCCATCTACAGTGTAGCAGTACGGAAGTTCGTGCGGCTCGTCGATTTTTCTCCTCCACACACGCCATTGCACTGCACCACGCCATGGTAGTCGTAGTACTACTACTGCGAGTCTGCATGCAACTCTCCCTCTCTCTACGGAAGTGTTATCCGTCCGTCCCCATGCTTGAGCTTCTCTCTCCTCGCCCGACAGAGAAAGGACGGGGCCTTCTCCGACACACGCCCCCTCCCCGTCTGTCCCCCACTCCACCACCACCTTTTCTTTTCTTTCAACCCTTCCCCACGAGCTCCAAGAAAATCACTTCTCCTCGCTCACAGTCACACACACTGCCGCGCCGCGCTCCAAGAACAAGAAGAAGAACCCACTCCAAGTCGTCCAAGGGAAGGGATGGCGGCAATGGCGGAGGGGGCGGGGGAGCCGGAGCTGGTGTCGATCCCCGTGACGCCACGGGGGCTGTCCACGCCGGAGGGGATGTCCACGCCGCCGGTCAGGAGGGGAGGGGCGGCGACCAGCGGCGCTGGGACGCCGGTGCGCCGGGTGGTGGAGGGGCTGCGCGGCTACCTGGAGGAGGTGGGCCACCTCACGCGCCTCAACCCGCAGGACGCCTGGCTCCCCATCACCGAGAGCCGCAGCGGCAACGCCAGCTACGCTGCATTCCACTCTCTCAACGCCGGCCTTGGGTTCCAGGCGCTCCTCCTCCCACTCGCCTTCCCCGCCCTCGGATGGTCAGTAACCTCACTCGCCATTCATTCTCACATCCTAAACACCAGCAACCCCCTCCGGCCCTCCCCCCTCACAGAGTATTTAATCAAAAACTACCACAATTCACGGAACCGTGACGAAAAACTATCACTTTACGATTTTATCCCGAAAACTACCACTTTTTTGCTAATCTATGATTAAAAACTACCATGTCGTGGAACCGCCCACTTCGCCGCGGTTAATCACGTTTCTGCCAGGCCGGGCCCATATTTCAGGCGCCAACGGGCCAATATGTGCAGCCGGAGCCGCACTTCGCCGCAGGTGCAACCGCGGAAGCCGCTTGCCGCTGGAGTCGCCGGCCGTGGCCGCGGGTGCCCCTCCCCCCTCCCCGCCGCCCTTCGCCCCTGGCTGCGCTGGTCGCCGCCGCCGACGACCTTCGCCACTGGAGCCGCCGGGCTGCGGGTCGCTGCTGGAGCAGCCAGAGCCGCCCGCCCCCGCGCCCTTCCCTGCCGGAGCTGCCCCGCCTCCCGCCCCACCTCGAGGAGTCCCGCTCGCAACTCGCCCGCGGTGCGACCGAGCGG